CCTGATCACAATAGAGCTGGAAGGGACACCTTGGAGGTCTTCTAGTCCAACCCCCCAACCCCAAGCAGGAGACCCTATACCATTTGAGACAAGGGACTGTCTATAGTCTTTTCTTAACAACCTCTAGGGATGGAGCACCCACAACTTCTGGTGGCAAGGCGTTCCACTGGCTAATTGTTCTCCCTGTTTGGAAGTGTCCCATCAATTCCAGGTCGCTTCTCTCCTAGGTTAGTTTCCATCCCTTGTTTCTTGCCCTGCCTTAAGGTGCTTTTGAGCAATGTTTGTTCTCCACTTATCCAAAATTATTATTATTCTGCAAACAGCCCCAAGGGTGGTTTTTTTTTTTCTTTCCCAAAAGGCAACTGGACTCTGTTTTTCCTTGAAGACCTTTTGCTTTCTCATCCAAGGAGCTCCTTCAAGTTCTGACTGAACGGCGGAGGATGGAAAGATTTATAGTTCCTTGCGGTCCTCTGGTCATCAGCACTCCCTCTGAGAGTCCTTCCATCCTCCAGTCAGAACTGAAGAAGCTTCTTGGATGAGAAGCAAAACGTCTTCGAGGAAAAAAACCGAGTCCAGCTGCCTTTTGAAAAAAAAAAAACAAAAAAAAAAAAAAAACACCTTTGGGACAACCAGGACCTGAATGACGGAGCATCTCCGGATTATTTGCAACAAAAAAAAATTCTTGTGCTCTTTCCCACATGCATGCATGCAGCTATGAAAAGATCTGCCCTTAGAATCGCCTTCCTTACATGATTTAATGATTGCGCTGCGGGAAAGAACAGGAAATGGCCACAAAAACCCCACAACTCTTCTACAATAGGGTCTGTTTAAATCACCTCGCCCGTTCCCTGCAGGAAAGCTAAGAAAAAGCGTTGTTCCTGGCCTCCCGGCTTGACGTTTCAGGAAGGAGGAAAAAACAAGAACGCACCACGCTTGTTGCTGAATTAAAATCACAACATGCTCAGCCGGGGAGACCTCAACCGAAAGGGGAACGGGGAATTAAAGAGTTCGATCAAGGCTGTTCTACTCCTGATTTACACCAAGGCTGGACAACTGAGGTGGTTTAATTATTAAAAGGCATTTTTTACTCTCTTCACACCTGGCTCTGAAATGCCCAGAATTGTTTGAGGGCGACATGGCTGCCATATACATTTAATAAATATTGAATAGATTATTATTTTTTTAAAATCAACAGTGTGTCTGAATCCTGAAGTTGGTCTAGGTGCTTCAACCCCTGTAGGGACTTGCAGATTCAGCCAGAATCCCCAAGAAAGATCTGGCTGCGACGGGGCCTTCAATTCACGGGCAGCTGTTCCACAGGTGTCCTTTTATTTTATTTTAGCCAGAGAACCTGGATTTGGAGATGCTCCTGTCAATTTGAATAAATGAATGAATGAATTCTTTATTGGCCAAGTGTGATTGGACACACAAGGAATTTGTCTTTGGTGCAAATGCTCTCAGTGTTGCATAAAAGAAAAAAATACCTTCGTCAAGAGTCAAGAATCGTAAGGCGCAACACTTAAAAATAGTCATAGAGTATAATAAGCAATCAGATCATACTAGGAAACGGTCAATATAAATCGTAAGGATACAAGCGACAAGATTACAGTCATACAGTCACTAGTGGGAGGGGATGGGTGATAGAAATGAGGAGAAGATTAATAGTAATGCAGACTTAGTAAATAGTTGGACAGCATTGAGGGAAATATTTGTTTAGCGGAGCGATGGCGTTCGAGGAAAAACTGTCCTTGTGTCTAGTTGTTCTGGTGTGCAGGGCTCTATAGCGTCGTTTGGAGGGTGGGAGGTTTTTTTTTTTTTTTTTGCACTTCAGAGATCCCAGAATCCCCCCTGGCTGGAGCTGAGGATTCTGGGATTGGAAGCCCGGACATCTGGAGGGCATATCAGAACCATAGAGGCGAGTGAAAAAATCCCAGAGTGGGACTTCTTTGCAAGCGAGGCAAAGGAGTGGGGAGCCGCTGACCATGTTCAGCTCTTTAACATTTGTTCGGATTTTCCAGAGCCTCAAGTTGTGCTCAGGCGAAGTTCCAGGAAGCGAAGTGAATACGCTGGGAATCTGTTTTCACTTCTATGACCTCACTGGAGGAAACAAAAGCCTCTTTCAAGAGCCTGGCAGCTGGCCCGGAGAACGGGGGAGCGCTCCCTCTCGCCCTCAAATAAAGGAGCCACCCAGCCGAGCTGGCCGAGGAAGAGAAATAAGGCTGGGATACAGAGAGGCTCTTGGGCCGGGGTGAGAATCTCATTGAAGCAGCCATATCTTTCCAGGAGGGTCCAAGGAAAGGGCAGGCTGGGATTGGAGAGGGGAATCCGTCTGTAATTCTCCTGCTTAAGCACGAGGGGGACAAGCAAGATTGTTATTTTGCGTTCTGCCGATGCCCCCTCGGTCCCGCTGGGCTTCCTTGGTCGAAGACAAAGTGGGACCAGCGCAGCTGGAAGTCCCTGACAGGATAGTGGGGAATGGAAGGGATCCTGAAGAGCTGAAGAAGCTTTTTGGATGAGAAGCAAAAACATCTTCAAAAGAAGAAGAAAAAAAAAAGTCCGACTGTCTCTTGAAAAAAAGGCACCTTTGGAGGACAGAGAAGGATTTAGACTCCTTGCAGGCAACTGGTCGTTTGCATCCTTTTTAGAGAGTCACTGAGGCCACTTGGGGGGTTTATCTGTGTCTTCAGAGTCACCTTGAGTAGTGCAAATGGGTGTGGAGAAGGGTCAAGTGACCCGGAGGACGCAGATAAACTTCTAAGTCCGAGGCCCCCAAACCTTAAGGCTTGTGGACTTCAACTCCCAGAATTCTCCAGCCAGCCTAGCTAAGCGGCCTCAACGTCCTTCTAAAAGGATGCAAATGACCAGCTGGTCTGCAAGGGGAATAAATCCTTCCGTTTCCCACCGTCTGGGGGTCAGAGCTGAAGAAGCTTCTTGGATGAGAAGCAAAATGCCTTCTTCAAAAGAATGACTGGAAATCTGATATCAAAAGATTGGGGGGGGGGGGGGGGGGTTTCCCCCGTGGGGGTGGGGGGGGGGGAAGCGGCGGCTCGGTGGGACCCTGCAAGGTGGGGGACGAGGCAGCTTGGACTGGCGTTCTGGCTAGGCCTCCTCCCTGGCCATCATCCAGGTTATTGTTACTCTTGGCAGCCTGCCTCTGTCCTGCAACTACAAATATGGTGGAGGGTGGTTGCCTTAATTGGGGAAGACAACAGGCTGTGTGTAAACGAACCTTCCCTCCTACTGCACTCCTCCCCTTGTGGGGAAAAGTCATGCCGACACCCACTTGGGGAATGCAAAGGGAGAGCTGGCTTCCAAACCCTTTAAGGTGGGGGGGGGGGGGAACACCACACACACAATGGAACGGAACAAAGTACGGAACAACTATATGTTTTCAAGGGGACAACCAGGAAGAAGGGGTCTTTTTATAAATAAATTTAAAAAAAAAACACCCACAAAAAGCTATCTTGCTAAACTCAAAAGCTTGTGTGCTTTATTGCTTGGGAAGAACGACAGTTTTAAAGTTCCAAACATTTGGGAAACGATGGTAGGCAGGGTGTCTTTTTTTTTTTTTTTGCCTAGAAACACAGCAGGGGGGGACATTTGTAGTATTTTTTTTAAAAAAAAATTATTTATTTAGATCTATTTTTTTTAATCCTGCTTTTATTACGTTTAGGAATAACTCGAGGTGGGGAACATACCTAATAGTCCTTCCTCTTCCTATTTTCCCCCCACGACGACAACCCGGTGAGGTAGCTGCAAAGGAGGGACTGGCCCCCCAAAAAATCATCCAGCGGTTTTCGTGCCTAAGGCGGGACTAGAACTCCCCGTCTCCTGGTGATTGGCCCAAAGTCACTCAATAAGTTTTCATTCCTAAGGCGGGACTAGAACTCCCCGTCTCCTGGTGATTGGCCCAAAGTCACTCAATAAGTTTTCATTCCTAAGGCAGAACTAGAACTCACAGTCTCCTGGTGATTGGTCCAAAGTCACTCAATAAGTTTTCATTCCTAAGGCGGGACTAGAACTCCCCGTCTCCTGGTGATTGG